AGACAACTTGATGCAGAACTTTCTTCCTACAGTCACTGGGGATTTGGAAGAGAACTGGCAAAGCTCTTGGGAGGCATGAATTGCAGATGAAGAGCTGGCTGAGCCACTTACTAGACCCTCACAGTGAACTAGGATCAACTCCCACACATTCTCCTTGATTTCATTTTGAAATCCTCTCCCTATCTAAATTAGCTGTGTCTGAATAAAACCCCATGACTGGAGAAAATAACCCCCATCCTGCTTTAGGACACCTTGAACACCCACTGGTCCAGGTAGAATCCAGGATTTTATGGAGCACAACCAGGCACCAAATTAAGTCTAACCTCGTCGATTAAATGAAGGGTAAGCAGACACTTTACAGATGCTAGCTCCATTAAATTGGGAAAAATCCTTCTGCGGCCACATCTCTCCCCATATAACAGACTTTTATAATTGCCTTTTTATCTTCCACACAGAGCAGAGGGAATATGATTCCCACCATTGGGAGAAGAATGTTAGAAAAATTAAATTGAAAATTGCTTACTACTTTTCTAAGGAATCAGTATCTCCAAGGAAATAGTCCATTCATTTTTAAAAGCAGTTTTAAAATTATAAGGCTGTAAGTGAATTCATGATTCTATTTAAACCAGTGGCCCTTTACCTTTCTCCTGAAAAACACACAACTATTCATGTCCCTTTAGCATACTGCCTAACATCTCAGATGGTCCCAGGACCTCATGTGGCTCATGCATGTATTCCAAATTAGGAACCCCAGATCTCGATAAATGCAGAATTATTTCTTGGAGTGGAAACAAAGATTTGTGGGGTATAACTCAGGGTCTATTTTAGGGGCAGGCTGGCTTTGATGAAGTCTTGGACTTGAAATGACTACATTGAAGCAATGCTTGTTCCCCATGGTAAGTGGAAATGCCTGGCCATGAAGACATCCTTGAGTGTTGTGGTTTCACATGTATAACTACTGTCAGGCCAATGACTCATGCATGAGTATGGACCATCAAAATCCCCATGGATCACTACTAAACATCATGTCTTTGAGCTGCTATAATGTGAGTCCCAACCACACCCACAAGCAGGACACTATCACTGACACACAGTGCGGACGACCATTTGTCTGATTTATGGGTGACGTTGTGGCGAATGTGGCATCGGTTTCATTTCGGGGGAGTGGCAAGTTACAGATATTTCCTTCACAACAGGAAGTGCAGACCTGAAAGAAAGGAAGAGAGAAAAGAAAGGTGATGAGAAGTTGGTAGGTCTTAGAAAAAGGCAGGGATCTTTGAAGGACTGTCTCCCTCATAGCAAGACTCAAATGAAGTTACCTGTTCTACAAAGGAAACACCAACCCTGCATTTAAGGGGGTGGGCGAAATTTCATCTGGAAGCAATGTGGTCAAAACGAAAGCCCCCGACTAAAGTTCAAGGACATGGGTTCTGCTTTTGGCATCCCACCTTGTGGTTATTACAGTTTTACAACCTTCCTAGGTCTCGGCTATTCTGTCTGTGAAGTGGGACTTATAATATTTACCCTACCTCTCAAAAAGGCTCTTTCTAAATACTTGAGGAAACTGTTAAGAGGGCAATTTTCACTTGCCAAATTTTCCCAGTGAGAGTGAAATGGTAACAACCCAGATAACCTAAAGTTAAATATTTACTTTCATTAGCGTTGTCTGCATAATTCTCTCCATTCTCATGGGTAAGCTAAGATTTGAAGGGTTTTCATTTATGCAATTATTTCTACGTTATACAGTTTTACTTGTGGATCGCAGGAAAGAAATAAACCCAAGGAATTATTGACAGAAGTTATTTTAGGTCATGGCTACACTAAGTACAGACCAGCAGTTTCAGCATCAGCTGGGAGCTTATTAGAAATGCAGAATCTCAAACCTTGCCCTGAACTCAGTGAATTAGAGTCTGCATTTTAGCAAGATCCCCAAGTGATTTATATGCACAGCAATGTTTGAAGACTCTACGATGGTTAATACCATATACAGTCATTACCCTCCAGAGACTTCAATCTAGTCATCACCGTTAACATGGATTAGGAAGACGTTATAAAGTTGAAGAGAGAAACAAGGGGTCAGAAGTGAGTTTGAATTCTGTCTCTTCTGTCTCTATTACTTTACTAACTTTGTAATCTGAGCACATGATATCATTTCTCTGGTCTTTAAACATCCTCCTTGGCGAAGTAGCCACAATAATGCCTGAGAGTCTAGTTTGCTAAAGGGTCAGGTAAAATTCTTGGGTTTACCCTTCATATTTCAAACCATGAGCAGGAAGGCAGAAGGCAGATTATACTTTAAAATTTACTTCTTAGTGTATTTGACACGTCTCTTGAAAATTAGCTGTCCAGCTTCTTGAGAGAAAGAAGCCCCTACCATTCCAGGGTATCAGAGTGGGCATTGCCCCCAAGCCCCAGAAAGGCAGCCTGATGGGGAGAAGTGGGCAGACTCCAAATAAAGGTCAAGGCCTGTTATATAAGCTCATGTCTCCAGCCAGCTCTGAATGACCAGCAGGAGAGTCAGGGGCATTCCACACTCCAACCATGAGTCAGGCCGTCAGGCTGCCTTTCTCTGATTCTTTATATTCACCTTCGAGGCTGGCCTCGAAGTTCATTTTACACTGAGTGCTTCTGTACAAGCACCGGAGGAGTTTCAGGGGAGCAAACTCACAAAGAGAGGGTTCTCTCATCACCTACTGAAATGACTCAGAAGCCAACATATACTTTCTTCGAATCAGAATCCCACAAAAAACACAAGCCCCACTTTATAGACAGTTATCAAAGCTAAATTGCCTTGGCCATCCCCAGCTGAATGAATTGTTAGTACATCTGCAATGCTTTACTATGAGGACATAATTGGTCCCTCGTTCCTCCTCTTTCCGGTAGCTTTATGACTTTCTTCTGAGTAAAGAAAGGGCTTCTAATAATTTTCAGTACCTTCCTGATGTTGTATTTACATAATTTATACTGCTTATCCTGTGCCCTGGTATAAACTTTTATTTTTTTTATAGCAAACAGGAAAGGAAGCATACTCTCATAATGGTATAAAGATAGCCTCTATGGGGAAGTAAGAATTTGCTTGTGAGCAGGAGACTGAAGTGGAAGAAGGCTGACTATTCTGTACCGGTCACTTGCTTTGTTGCCCAGACCTTGTGGCCTTCATGCTCCGAGTCTCTGCAGCCAGTGGACAAGCATTCTTCCAGTGGAACACAGCGTTTGGTGACAGAGATGCTGTTTCCTGTGACTTCCATTGTGTGCTGAGTGTAGCAGTATCTGGTCTCTGTCAACAGAGAAAATGTTTTAATCGACCTAGAAAATGTTAACCTAACCTGCCTGGAAGGATAAAAGGGGTGTCAACACTACAAATCCTGGAAAAATCTAACAGCACATGGGACGTACACTGTGTTGGAGATGTGCTTGGAGAGCCCCACTTCGCCACAGAAGAAGGAGGGCCTTCTGAAGACAATTGGTCTCTGCCCATCGCAATCCCCATAAACCAAGACCCGGTGGTTTCATTCTTTGCCTATTGACAAATTTTGCCACTGTATTGACTTTCATTTTTAGAAGAGGAGAAGCTTGGAAAGATGATTTAAGGGTGTGAGAGTCACAGCAATTTTCAGGAAGATGAAATGGTAAAAAAAAGTTCAAAGAACCCAGGATGAAAAGACAAGAAGTTAGGCCCGTAACAAAAATCTTCAAGGAGATAAAAGACTAGCAGAGGCGTGTGTGTGTGTGTGTGTGTGTGTGTGTGTGTGTGTGTGTGTGTGTGTGTGTAAAATCAGCTCTCCCCAAGCAAGAGCAGAATGATTAAAAATAGATTTATTGTATCTGAAGAAAATGACTTTATCCCCCAAAAAAGAACTTCTTGTCTAGGAGCATAGCTGGATCCTAGAATTCATTACAGAAGACCCCAACAATGAAGATGTTCCTAAATTGAGGAGCATCATTTCTCCCTAGCATGATTTCAGTGTCTTTCTAAAAAGGCAGATGAAGAAAGACCATGATGTGAGTTTTTAAAGTCTTCAGAGGCTGAAAACTTGAGATTTCTTCCAAACTTTCACGGATAATTTTTTTTTAACTTATAATTTAAAGACTAAAGAAAAATGGCTTGACCAACGTAATTCTTTAAGTTCTTCAGGCAGTGTTCAGCTTTCTAAGCCTGAATTTAGTTGAATGCCCCTGCTCCACTTTCAAATTGAAAAAGAAAATGAATAATTCTTAAGAAATGCCGCTGAGCTGTTTTTCATCCATATCTTGGGCCCAACTTTGCATACTTTACACGTTTTGGATATTTACTGGCTAATATGGAATTATGACCTTCTATGATATTATTTATTAGGCAATAAAAATTCTTCCCACCAGATTCTGTCATAATTTTGGCAGCTTTTAACCAATGTATGGTGTCCAAATAAGAAAGCTGAATAATTTTAGCCTCTGAGAATGAACTAATACAGACCACATGAACACATCCTGGGAGTCTTAATAATCTTCTAGATACCCACACTTGACAGGAACCTGAGTAGCCTCCAACTGAGTCTTGCTAAAGACAGCGTCTTGCCCAGTGGTTACACTCTTGGTGGGTGTACCTGGGCTGAGTCCGTTTCAGTGCTCTCCCCGCAAATGCTGTCCCTCCCCACACTGCACCCTGACCAGAATTGTCAGTTGAGATCAGGTCAAGACATCTCTAGCTTGCTCAGAGGAGTGGGGTCAGTAAGGTCATTCTATGTATTCACAAGAAATGTTGAAAGTATTGTGTCTGGCAATATTTCTCCCAAAGCCCTAAAATATTTTAAAATTGGAGTGACTGTGATTGTTTTTCTGATGAAGAGATGGCTGCTCTCCTGATTTTTTTTTTTTTTTTTTAAAGCCTTTGACAGGTTTTAACATATGGAGGACAGTGACCTAAGAGATTTAAAACACCTTCCAAAGAGGACTGATTTACTTCTCTGGTATCATACTTGGACATTTATGGCCATGAAAGGTACACCTTTCTCACCCTACCCCAACTTCAGATGTTCAGGAAAGCAATAAAAGGGGAATGTTCTTATTTTCTATCTCCTCTTCATGCAGACAACCAGGAGCAGCTGCCAGAGATTTTACTGTTCCAAATGTAAATCTGAGCAGATAAGGTTATATGTTTATGGAATAAGTAAATCATTAAATGGTTCCAGTTTTAGAAATTAGATTTGTCCCGCATGTAGTGAATTATCTTGTTTTAGCTAAGTCTTAGAAAAACAATTGGTGAACCTGATATAACTACCTTTGGTTCATACTTTTATGTCCAACAAACTCTCATTTAATTTATTAATTGAAAACTTATTCCATTGAATGAAAGTACAGACAACAACTGTTGAACCTTTTATTTTTTTCAGAAAAATATGAAAAAACCCAGTATGGAATAAGCCAATTCTTGCTATTCTGTGGGGAGAAGGGCGATCAGTGATGAAGGTGGATAAGAATTTTTTTCTTCCACTTCACCAAGTACAATCCATAAAACAAAGACATATTGAGAATACCCCATTACTTTTAGCACCAGAGACTTCAGGTCTGAAGCATCAATCCCTTAAACGCATCCCTTCTTTTTAGCATCCCATTACTTTTAGCACCAGAGACTTCAGGTCTGAAGCATCAATCCCTTAAACGCATCCCTTCTCCTTCTCATCTTAAAAAACCTCAAGGTGAGTTATGAAATGTTAATGTGGGAAAAGGTCCTGTGGTTAAATAAGTTTGGGAAATGCTCAAATAAAGTTGAACAGGTTTCTTTAGTGCACTTGTGACAGCCTTGAATTTGTACTGAGATCTCCAACGGAGGCAGGAGCAGGGCAGGCAGAATTTCCCAAGTAGAACTAGGCGGACCACATGTGGCTTATCGCTGGACTGTAGAATTGATAAAAAACTGAGTTTCTGCCACAGAGCATTGCTCTCCATGCATTTTGAATAATCCTTGGTTTAGTAATGAGGTTATATGAGAATCAAGCTGGCTGATAGCTTCACACTAAAAGGATTTCAAAGGCTTTTATCTAAAAGATAAAAGATGGATTTGAATTTCTACCAGGTTAGTTTCTGCCTCTAAAATCTCATATTCAGCACTGCATGGTACTCCCAGAGGTTGTGAAACAAAAATCTTTTACTGTGAGATTCACAGGCATTCAAGTAAAGTCAGAACTGAGTAAAAAAGCTTAATCAACTATTGGAAGACAAAGAATATAATTTTCATGAAATTCACACATATGTACATAGATTCCATAACTTAGTTCTGAAATTTAAAAAAGGTCTGAAGCTAAAATGTAAATTTCCATTTACTCATCAACATTCAGTTTCGAATAACAGAAACTGTATCGAAACAAAATATACAAAATATATGTAAAATGATTTGAATTAAAACGAGACATTTCAAATGACCAACCAACTCTCACCACACAGTTATTCTCTGTGGCTCCTCTAGTTTGGGTTTCTTTACAAATAAATATAATTATTAAAGTAATGCTAGAGAACAATTCACTAGGTACAAGAAATTTAATGGCAGGAAAATAACTTTAATCACAATATTACAAATTATATTGAAAAATAAAAGGCTAGTGTCATCTGTGACACACTCCCTGCCTGATTCCTTACTGTGCACTCAGCCCTGCACATTCTGCCTTGCTCCTTCCAGGTCCTCCTCTCCTGTCTGATCTCATAGGATTTCTTTGCAGGTCCAGGCTCTGCAGGATTCCTCACCCTGGACTTCAGAGCTTTGTCTTCCTTTAGATTTTCTTCTATATCTCTAGTCTCTTATCTTCTAACACTTGCCCTGGCCTGAGTGTCTTTATTCTCCCAAGCACACTTCTGAAACCTCCTCTCACTCAATTAACCTCATCCAATCTTTCATATCTTCAGTCTAATTCTCTTTCCTGGGCTATAGAACCAAATTTCCAAATATTTCCTGCAGCACCAGCAGCACCTTAAACCTCACATGCCTCAAACCAATCACACCACTTCCCTCTCACTTGCATCTGTTTATCTTCCTGTGTTTCTATTTCAGAAAGGGACATCCTGAGATGTGGCACCTCGATCTTCGACTAGAATCACCTGAGACTTCTCTTGCCAAGCTGGGTGTCTCCAAGTCCTCCAAAATGTCTCCATTATTCATCTGATCTTTTCTGTTTTGTTTTATATTTCCCCAATGCAGGACCCCAACATTTCCTGTCTTCTTTGTCTCTGGCCAATCTCCTCTCTAATGCAGGTGTCGGACAACCACCAGACAGATCACTGAAACCAAGGTCAGATCATGCCATTCACTGCCCATGAAAGCATAAATAACACTTAAACTCATGAATGATGCCTAACTGTCAAGGAGGCCTGACTGCTAGGTTTATTTGGACTTCCAGAGTGGACGGTACGTGGCCCATTGTTCTATTTCTGCTCTTGAAGCTGTGTGTCAAGAATATAGAGTAACTGTTCTTCCCTGCTGCAAGCATCAATTACATCTACAACTCAAAGCTTGGCATCTGAAACTCAGTACTTATTACTCAAGGTTCTCCTTGATCTAGACACCATACTACTTCATCGTTTCTTACTAGATACTTTGAGACTATGATACAATTTTTGACCATTTTTTCACAACAAATCTTTTTTCCTGTCTGCTGCTCCCAGAAACCTAATGTTCTTCAAGGCTTAATCCAAATGACATAAATTCTGTGAAACTTTCCTTGATTTTCCGCCCAACACCAGGCTCACAGCCTCCCTTAGCTTCCTTATTTGATGTCTGGCTTTCCTCCTAGATCAGGTTTCTCAACGTTGGCACAATTGGCTTTGTTTTTTACTGGTTGATTTTGTTTTTTTAATTACACTTTTGATTTTGAGGTAATTGTAGATTCACATGTATCTGTAAGTAATAATACAGAGAATCCCATGTACCTTTTACTCAGTTTTTCCTGAATGGTAACATATTACAAAACTATAGTATAATCACAATCAGGATATTGACATTGGTGCAATCAAGATAGAGAACACTTCTGTCTCCACAAGAATCCCTCATGTTGACTTTTTGTACTCACATCCTCTCTCCTCCTGCCCCAACCCCCTCTTTAATCCTTGGCAGCCACTAATTTGTGCTCCATTTCTATAATTTCATCATTTCAAGGATGTTACATAAATGGAATCATACGGTATGTAAACTTATGGGGTTTGGCATTTTCATTCAGCCTAATTCACTTAAAAGTTATCCATGTTATGTGTATCACAAGTTTATTAATTTTTGTTGTTGAGTAGTAGTATTCCATGCTTTGAATGTACCAA